GGTCTGATTCGGATTGCACCATGTCCAGCTCCAATAAGACACCCCGTAAGTGTTGATGCCACAAGCGTGGTGCTTGTTTCAGCCCATATACACTTCTTTTGAGTTTCCAGACTTTGTCTCCGTCCCGCCTTGGTTCTGGTGGTCTCACGTATATGTCCCGGTCAATCGGGGCGTACAGGAATGCATTGGAGATGTCCAGCTGCACCACTTTCCGCTTTGTAGCAGATGCACCAGCAATGAACACGCGAGAGGTAGGGCCTTGGCTGACCGGTGCATACGTCCCATCGTATGTCCCCCAAGTCTGTCCAAATCCCTTGACCACCCAGCGCGCTTTGAACCGGTTTGGCTGCCCGTGCTCATCTCGTTTCACCCGTAAAACGACTCCTTTCGTCAGCACAGGTGTTCCTTCTGGTACGTCCGCTCTGTCCACCACTTCATATGCTTCTAGCTCGTCGAATTTTGCCAACTCTGCATCCACCGCAGCTTGCCAAAGAGGTGCATACTGATATGTTGTCATCTCTTTGAGCGTTTTGGGCTCCTTGTATGTCAAGTCCACCATGGGGACGCCGGTTGTTGCACATCCTAGCACGTGTTGCCGCAAGTTGGGATGTTTGTTGAACGCTTGTGTTGCCTGTCGTTTCCCAAACAGCACATCCAGTCCTGTCATGGTGTCCATCCCTTGTCCTTCTCCTCCGAGCACAGTCACAGTTGGGTTGAAGTGAACCCGCCGTGGAGTTGCGTCATGAACTGCCAGCTCGATCCCATCAGGTGGGTAGGCAAAGTCATAGATATGACTTGTCTCATTCTCCATTTCGTTGCTTTCAGCACCTTCAGGAACAGAGACACCAGCTGGAGGTAAGTCACTTGCTGCACCCCCTTCCTTATTAGTTGCGTCGTCAATGGGTGCATCGTCTTAATTTGCGACAGCTTCCTGTCCTCGTGTGGTTGATGTGTCCGTGGACGACGTAGGCGATGGCGAGGATGCGGGAAACGCGTCCAACTCGGACCAAAAGCCTTCTCCCCCGGAAGTCCAGTCATCGATGTGAGGTGAGACTTCTTCCATGTAGTGGTGGCGTTCGAGTACCGATTCAGCGTCCGGAATCATGAGGCCATCAAAGAAGCGAGCAGACCGTGTGTCCGTGTCAACATCGCTTGCCAAGTCCCGCACGATCCATGCTCTTCGAGCGTTGGAGAGTCCAAGGAACCATCCAATCCTTCCTCTTTGCTCGAACTTCCCAAAGCTACCTTGGGGAGGGAGGTAGTAGCAGAGGCAGCCAAAGGTCCTTGCCATTGAAACATCTGCCGCCTTTCTTGTCATCATGAAGTATGGTAAGTGTGCTGATGGGTTGCTGCTGCAGCTGATGCGGTTGTGTAACCAGGCTGCATACTCTAGTGCATAAGGCCAAAACTTAGAAGAAAGGCTGGCCCCGGTAGTCATTGCACGCACTCGGTCTATGAGTGTGCGGTTAACCCGTTCAGCGACTCCATTCTGCTGCGGCGTGTGTGGTAAGGACGTTTGGTGATTGATACCGTGAGAACTCAGGTAATCCGTGAATGCGTTTGATGTATACTCCCCCCCATTGTCCGTGCGCAAGGCAGCCAGCGGCGTCTTGGGCAGCTTGGTCTTCATCTCACGGTGCCAAGCCAAGAAAACTGCAGCCATGTCAGACCGGCGAGCCAACGGCGCCACCCACAGGTAGTTGGTGTAGTCGTCCTTGAGCGTCAGCACGTAGCGAAGTGAGGGGTGAGCGTCACCCAAGTCCATGATGTCGCTAAGCACGAGCTCCAAAGGTCGTGTTGTGCGCTTGTCACCACCTGTGGGAAATGGGGCCTTACTCATCTTCCCTCGAAGACATGAGTCACACGGGGGTTTGAGAGGGTTAGTCTTGTCGGATATGGTGAGTCCTTCAACATCACCATTTTGAAATGTTGCATCCATGGATGTGTATGATGGGTGACCCAAGCGCTTGTGGGCCATGCGGTATGTGATGGATGCATGCGCTGAAAGTGGATTCAGCCCTTTATGACCATGATCATGCGATGCGGCTTCCTCATAGTAATGGTCAGATCCATGGGCAGATGCAGGTGCAGGCTCATACTGCACCATGAGCACACCACGCATGATCATTCCAACCCCAATGACTACATGCTCATCTTCAACCGCCATAGTAATCTCCGTGCGTCCGTCATTATGAGTGCGAATCCGAGCTCCTTTCGTGTGCAGCTGGCAATAGGAGAGTAGGTTGGTCTTCAAGCCAGGTACGTAGAGCACATCCGTGTAGCGCACTATTGTTCCATCGAGTGCCGTTGCTCGGATTGTTCCCGCCATCGAGCTCAACAGGTGGCTCCCGTCAGCAAGCTCCACGTAAATAGGTTCGTCCAGCTTCTCTAGACTCTCAAACCAATCCTTTTCTGAAGTCATGTGTTGGCTGCATCCGCTGTCCAGCAACCACAGCGACCCTCCGGCTGCTGGTAACATTGCTTGTGACGACCGAATCGTTGCAACGCATGTAACGGTGCGTTTGTTGTCTCCCCCCGCTGCCCCTTGCTGTTTCGACGCTTGGTTGTCACGTTTGGGGCTTTCACTCCTTCGAGGCGAGGACGAATGGCTATTCCAGGTGCGCTGGTTTGTCCTCCCTCTGTTTTGTGGTTCCCACCCTGGTGGTGACCAACCCGGGGGCGCCTTAGGACATTTGTAGAACGGGTGGCCAGATTCCTTGCAGTACCAACACACAAGGTTGGAGCGCCCTCCCCTTCCTTCGTTGGCCTTGAGTTTCTCCCCAACCGCATTCTGTCCTCCTGTTGCCGCATTTTTGTTGCCCTTTGTCTCGGTCCTCTCTTTTGCTGGTGAAGTATCTCCACGTGCTTGACCAGCCATACGGGGAGGACGTTTGTCACGGTTGGTCTTGCTGATGAGGTCTTGGTAGCGTTGTTCCTGAATCATCATTCGCTGTCCGAGATGTCGTGTAGCATTGCTGAATGCCTCAGCTCCTCCCAATGAGGTGGCAGCCCAGTAATCAGATTTAAAGTGAACAAATCTTCATCCACCATCTTTCCCGCCATTGCCAGCTTGTCTCGAATTGCAGTTGCCCGGTTGATGTATTCCTCCACCCTTTCTTGGCTCCCCATCTTCAGGTTGTCCAATTGCCTTTGGAGAGACGCCTTTGCCACCGAATCCTTCGCCTGGTAAGTCTCCATCAGGTACTCCCATGCTTCGAATGCCGGACTGTATGACTCTTGGAACACGTCCAGCTGTAGTTGAATTGTTGCGCTTACGCTATGTAGAAGCACCCAAAACGCCAGCGTAGCACGTTGTGAGTAATCTGCTTGCAAAGCTTCTATCTGTTCCATTGCATCTCGCATTTCTCCATTCGCCATTGTCACTGGGTATTGTAGTGTCACGAAAAACTCCCACAGATTTGTCACGCGCGCATTCATGCGAAATCGAAGAGCCCACTCTCGAAAGTTAGTGCCGTCGAACGGGGTTGTTGTGAACGCCTTGTCCACCATGGCTCCCACCATTTTGCATGACAGTCTGTCTTTATCTCCTTCGGTGTACTCGCGAGGAGACGGGTCGAAGAGCGTAGGCACGGTAGATGGTCGAGGTAGTTGCACCGTGCGTTGTGTCCCTTCACGTTCCACCACCTCCACTTGGTCACGTCGCATAACTCCACTTGATTGCATCCCGTGCCCCATGCGCCCGATGCTTCCTGCAGGTACAGCTTCTAGTTGAGACTATTGCGCACGAGGGGGTACGACGTTGCCATAAAGGTGAGATCTGCCCATTATGGGAACTCCAATGGGATGGGTGTTAGTGGCAAGTCGACGCAGTGGGGGAGCACCAATAGTGTATGATTCGAATCCCACACCCTCCATGCCCATATGACTGCTTCTACCGCTCCCTTCACCAATTTGCCCTCTCATATTTCTTCCCATGTCAATCCCATCACCATGTTCTCTCACATCCGTTCCACTCCCGTACTCATCATCCCTCCCCGTTGCTTCCCTTCGCATGGTTGATTGAGGTTCGGGGTGGGAGCTCCCCTTTCCTTGGAAGGATGCATCCCTCCCTTGGGATGACTCTCCTCCTTGGGGTAGGCTTCTTTCCCCGTCACCTTCAATTCCTGCATCCACATTTGAAGCGCGGGTTTGGTTAGTACGCGGAGTGCTTGCATGAGAATGTCCACGGATAGATGGGTTGTTGGAATCTCGCACTTGGGCTGCCATGTTAAATTTTGCTCTGAGTGACGCTTGGAGTGTCGGTGGTGCTCTTGCAATCATGATTTCCAGGTGCTCGTGTTGAGCCAAGATTGCTTCTTCGAGCGCCTCGTATCCAGCATCAACTTCCTCGTCGAAGTGCGCCATGATGTTGATCAAATCGTACACCAAGTGTGCGCTAAATGCGCGGTTGGACACGGAAGCGAACACCAGGTACACACTAGCGTAGACCGGGTGTGCGGTACTCTGACTGTATGCAGACACCTATACGTAGTAAATGTCAATAAACTTCTGAACCAAATTTGGCAGCATGCCCCCTAGAGTAGCTCTGATACCATGCTACATGATGCCGGCGTTGCGAAAGCTAGATCGTAGAAAGAGCAAGACTGGAAGACTTGTACCGAAAGTGGTTGAAGCGGAATGAGAGAAATGGAATTAATTGATTGTGAAACCACACAGCAAGGAATTTATCCTGTCAGCTACCCTGCCCATACCCATCCATGCACACCAATAATTGTGCCACCAATAATGGTGATTCCAATACAGGAATACCAATAATTCTACCCCCAGACCTCTAGACTCCAATAATTCTAGCCCTACAATTATTGTAGGCCCTGAAGTCTTGTACGGAGGACTACAGTAAAATCTAGCAGCATAAATGTTTCTTTATATGTTATATTTCTCAACAGCTAGTAGTTGTAGCTTGTCAGCAACAGCGGTGCCCCTCACAAACCACACGAAAGTAGAAACTCCCTAGAGTGGTACAATGCTCCCCTTGCTTCTCAGGGTTCAGGTTGAGGGGCAGAAGAGTTGACTAGAAGCCGTAGCTTGTCAGCAACAGTGGTGTCCCGCACAAACCACACGTGGGACTCGCCGGGCGGCACTAGAGTTTGGCAGTGTGCGTTGACCGGGTTGACCACTCCAGAAAAATGGAAATGCCGTAGCTCCGTTGCTGCGTTGAGCACTACTCCGCCCTTCTGTGGCTCCCGTGCGATGTGGATTGACATAACCTCCGTCTGAAGGGGAATGGGGGTGACAGGCACGGGTGACAAGCAGGGGGGTGACAGGCAAGGGGGTGATGGGTGATTGGCCGGGATGCACTCAGCACCACTTATCACCACTCAGCACCACTCAGCGCCACGCAGCACCACGCAGCATCTGCTAGGAGGGTGAGAGGGCGTCTCACCTTGCGCGGGTTGACAATCAGTTTCCGATGGCCCCGCCAGTCCTCACACAGCTCTAACTCCATCCGCTGTCCCAAACCCGAGACGAGGCTTCTCAGAGGAAGCACTGGAGAGTGAGGGAATGAGGCACCTAGGAGGGAAGAGCCTGTGAGCGCGTCTCACCTTGCGCGGGTTGACAATCAGTTTCCGGTGGCCGCGCCAGTCCTCACACAGGTCTGAGTCGATCCGCTGCCCCTCGGCCCTGTCGCGCAAGCACCACACGTCTGGGTGCCGGAACACCATTCGCGATAGCAGCTGCACGGCACGTCTCTTCGCCTCCGTCCCTGCAGCTTCAACCCACTGCGTCTCACCACCCTCCGTGCCATTCCCTGCTGCTCCCAGTGCTGTCTCCTCATGCCTACTTCTGGCGTTCACTGCCGCTCCAGCCCCCCGGATATCACCACCACCACCACCACCACCACCACCACCACCACCAGCAGCCTCCACTGCAGCAGACCCACCACCCACACCACCACCAGAGTCAGCAGGCTCCACCGTAGCAGCCTCAGCAGGTGCGGGTGCGTCCTCCCCCCCTTCCCCTTCGCATACAGAGGGCTTGACGGCGAAAGCGCCGTGGGAGAGCCAGGGGGCGTGGGCGTGCGCGGCGAGCAGCGAGGGCAGGGAGTGCGGCGGGACGGGCGCGAGGTACTCGTCTGTGTCGTGCAGAGTGACCCAGCGGGATGTGAAGAGCGACCGGTATATGCAGTCGTTGCTGGCTAGGGTCTGGTGGGAAGGAGGGGGTGTATAAGGGAAGAAGAGGTGTGTGTGGAATTAGGTGCTAGACTAGGCGTGCACATGTCTCAGCACTTTGAGAGGAACTCGTCTGTGTCGTGGAGAGTCACCCAGCGCGAGGTGAAGAGCGAGCGGAATATGCAGTCGTTGCTTGCTAGGGCCTGGTGGGAGGGAGGGGGGAGTGAAGAAGACGTGCTGAATGCGGTACTCGATTCGCGGAATGAGGTACTGAGATCGCCCTGTGCCTTTGACAGCACGGGCAAGATGAATTCGTTGGTGTTGCGCAGTTTTTCTTGAGGCGCCTCAAGCAGTGTGCCTCATCAATGAAGCACTCGTTGCTGTCGAGCAGTGTGCCTCATCGAGAGGTGAAGAGTAACCGGAACATGCAGTCGCTGCCTGCTAGCGTGTGGTGGGAGACGTAATATATGCAAGGATTTAATCAATGTACGCATGTATGGAAATGTATTCATGGAAATGTGTACGTATGTATGTATGCATACATAAAGGTGTAAATGCTTGAAACGAAGCTCAAAACACCACCCCCCACCGACCTGGTGCTTGGTGATAAAGCTCAGCGCCCACTCCCCCGCATGAAACCCAAACCGCCGCTCTCCGGACACGTCTGTAACAGCAGCCATGCCGGCAGCAAAGTGCGGCGTGAAGGGCGCTGTGAGGGTGTGTATCGATCGACTCAAAACACATTTGGTGCTTGGTGTGAAGCACACCTGGTGCTTGGTGTGCAGCTCACCTGGTGCTTGGTTGTAAAGTAGAGCAACTCCACTCCCGCAAGAAACCCAAAACGCCGCCCTGCCGACATGTCCGTAACAGCAGCAACACCCGCAGCAAAGTACGGCGTGAAGAGCGCCGTGAGGGCAGGAGTCCACGCCGCCATGTCGTAGAATATGAAGCGGGAGACGTTGGCATGCACGCGGTGGTACTCCGCCCATACCCACACCCTGCCCGCATCTAGCGTGCCGTAGAGCGGCTGTGAGCACCACGTGAGGTGGACTGGGAGGGAGGCGTCCGGTGGTGGTTCCAGAGGCTGCAGTTGGGGAGATGGAGGGGGAGGGGGAGGGGGAGGGGGAGGGGAGAGGGATGGGGATCGGGAGAGGAATCGGGAGACGTTGGCGTGCATGCGGCGGTAGTCCGCCGGTGCCCACACTGCCCTGGCGACTAACGTGCCGTAGAGCACGGCTGGCAGCACCAGTCTAGGTGCAAACCTGCTGTCCTCCAAAACATTATAGCTTCCTCCCCCTTATCCCACCTGCCCCGCATCCCACCTGTCCCGGGCGTTCGTTGAAGACGGCAGCTTCCACGCCATCCATAGTCATCACCAGGTAGCCGCCTGCCCGGGACGTGTTGCCCCACAGCTGGCAGAACGCCGCTAGCGAGTCAGTCTGTAAGGGGGATGAGGGAAGGGGTGTAGCGGAACGTGGTGTAGCGAAAAGGGGAGAGAGAGTCTGAGGGTGAAATTTTCTGGGTATTGAGTTGCTCTTTAGGGCGGACGGAGGTGTGGAGGTGAACAGAGGGAGGGGAAAGGGCTGGATAGAAGATTCGTGACTAGGCGAGTCAGTTTGAAACGAGGATGAGGGGAAAGGTGCGAGAGTGGTGTGAGATGAAGCACCTGAGTTTTGGGGTGCATGAAGTCTCTGTACCACACTGAACCGTTCACTCTGCTGCCGTCTCGCCCCACCCATCTGCAGCCCTCCCCGTCCGTCACCCACGTGAAATTGAGGCCGCTTATAGCGAGTACGACGAAGCGAGAGGGGCTGACGCGGTAGGCGCTGGGGGATGGAGAATTGAGATGAGAGAGGAGTAATAGGGGGGGGATGGAGGAGGGGAATGTGTCGGGTAGAGCAGAGGGGATGAGTGAGGGAGGAGGTTAAGATAAAGACGTAGGCAGGTGAGTCTGGTTATGTCCCACCTCGGCATACATAATTATGGCAGCAGGATTGGACGCAGCACCTGAACTCGTAGAGGAATCCTCGCTGCTGGTAGGTTCGTTGCCTCCACTGCCGCGCCTCCGTCTCAAGCGCACTCGCCACAGCCACGTCTGACTGATTCCGCCAGCGCCTCGCTTCCAGTGCCTCCGTGTAGCGCTGCCGGCCGCAAGGGCACGCACGCACAAAGACGCACACAGACGCACGCACAGTCAGGTACAGACAGAGGCACGAACGCAGAGAGCAACAAGAAGCGTGGGAGTGAAGTGAAGGGATATTAGGGAATTCTCAAAGTACTTTCGAAATGCGCTTTGAAAGAGAAGCGCGGAGGGGCGGGCCGCTCCAGCGGTCGTCTGCAAGCACCGTGCTTGTCACAGTGACTGTCACCCCCATCCAGTCACACCGCAAAACTGCATTATCCGCCACGCCGATAGTTGCGCCATCGCGCCATCACTCGCCGATAATTGCGCCATCGCGCCATCACGTACCGATAACTGCGCCAGATTCTGCACGTCACGCTCTTCGTTCCACTGTTCCTCCTCGCCGCTCTTCCAACTGCCATCTCCGCCGCTCGTCTCTCCGCCATCTCCGCCGCTCCCGCTTCGCGCATCGTGCGCTACAGCTACGGCGCCAAGTGCGAAGCAAGGGGCATTTCCGGTGCCGGCGGTGCTGTTTGAAGCGGCTTGGCGCGCAGCGGCGGAGGATGGAGAGGTGGAGGAGGAGAGGACGGAGGAGCGGAACCGGAGGAGCGGGGAGGAGTGGGAGAGGAGGAGCGGAGAGAAGAAAGGCGTCAATGCCGCGTCCTGGACCATGGCCTGATTGGCGAGAGACGGACGGGAAAAATAGGGGAATGCGTGGTTCTTTGAGTCCACTGGTAATCATTCTGGATTCTCAGACAGCGTCATGCGCCGAACTGGCGTGGCTGCACTATAGCCTAGAGAGGAAGAGGAAAGCGCAAACATTTCTGGAGTCCGGCGGCCTCAAGCGTGGTCTCCTCCATCGAGTGTGGGGATCCCCTCTGAGTGGAGGCGTGCGCTCGATGGGGGCGCTGATGTGCGCGTGAGCGCCTCTCGTCACAGTGGAGCAACGCATCGCCCGCCTGGCTATGTGGCACTGTCCCGGAAAAAAGTCGGGCTAGCGTGGCGTGTATAGAGATCGGTCTCAATCAGTGGCTTGTTCCTGGATCTATCCATTGCTTTTGAGTGACGCTTCAGCACGTACCCCGCACACTAGCAGCGTTAGCAGCGCGCCGAGCGTCGCGGTCGCGTGTACGGCCCACCTGTGCCGCGAGAGCTTAAATGGTGGACACGTCATCATCCTTCGATCCCAGGCCTGGGCTTTATGAATTCAGCCGAGGGAATGTGAGTGCTAGTACACAATAGTTAGTAGTGGCTCGAGTGTGAGTTAGTAACGGCTCGGGCATGAATAAATTGCCGTTACTAAGTTGATGCAAAGGGTGAATCACTCAGTCAGCTGTTTACTGGAGGCACTGCCGTGTGTTCCTCCAGCCCCTCTGTCCTGATAGACTGCGAATGGATCAGCAGGTGCACGAGGAGACGAACTTATAGGGCCAGACCACACGAGCCGGCAGCACCGAATACCAGCCAGCAGCGGTACTTGGCCGTGCGCGCCTGACATCATGGTCGTCACGACAAGATGCGCGCCTGACATGGTCGTCACGACAAGATGCGCGCCTGACATGGTCGACACGGTACAGCGCGGCAAGATGCGCTTATCGGGATGGTTAGTCCTCGCGGTCGTGGAAGATCATGAGTCGTCGTGACGTGGCTTATGTGAGGCAGGCGGCTTGAAAACCACCAATAGTCGAGCATAACACAATCTCGTCGAAGGGGGGGCCACCACCTCACCACATCACACGGCATTCGCAATCGCACCCTAAACCCGAAATCTCCAACTTTCGGTTGTAGCGGGGGGGGGGGGGGGGGGGGGGGGGAATTCGAAGGGGAAACTGCCTCGGAACCATCGTCATTTCCCTTCGCCCCCCCACCTCCCTCCCAACGGAGATGCCTGCAGAACGCAGCCATTCTATCACTCCAGGAAGGTGGGGGGAGGGGTGGGGGAAAGCTGGCTGGGGGGGGGGACTGTAGAGTGACCATTTCGCGGGTGTCGCGTCGGGGTGTATTTCTCGATGATCGAAGCGCGTGAATCGAAGAATCGCGCCTGCGTGATTTTGGCGGGTGTGGTTGCTGTTGATTTGTCATTGGTGCTGACGGATGGGTGGTTGCTGACATTGTCGCACGACAACGCACAAACCCTCAGAGTTTTGTCGCATACTCGGAATCGAGTACGGAACCACCATCGTGGTGGTGAGGCTGACTCCACAAAAAAGCAGACAACTGGGATTGCAAAACACATGCTCAAATCTTACTATTTTCAGCATTTCTATAACAGCAGTCAAGCAACTACAGCCTTAGGCTAATGGAAAATTTTTTTCAAGCAAGGGAGATACGCTTGTCATGGATCGGCAGAGGCTGCGGCATCTGGGCCTCGTGTGGGTGCGACTCTCCCTTGTAAACCTTGAGGTGTGTGAATAGGCGGCGACCCAACTGGTGTGGAAGGGACACAAAGCCAAAAGAAAACGATTCATCTATACTCAGCAGTAAGGAAAGAGACGAAGGTTACATCGAACACATTAGAAACCAGGTTTCATATAATCTTTAGTGAAACATACCATCTCATGCTCCATCTTTTGTATACCCCTTGCTGCAATTTCACTAAGTACCAATCATCATATGCTCCATTATCCAGCGCATCCAAAATCATTCCCAGTGTCTACCTCTCACCAAAGCATAACTATTCCCTTCCCGTGAAAAGCATGCCCCACACAACATGTTCCACACCCCCCAGCATGCATACACAGCATGTCCCACACAAAACGCTCAGGATGTTTTTCAAAATCGTAGCTCAAGCTGCGTTTCATCATGCCTCACCTCGCTGGCCCAACTGCCCTCAAACCTGTACCCTGGTACCCACCTGCCTGGGCTGCATGCCCCCCACGTGAACCTCCACTGATTTCTCCACTGATGCGGCTTTCTGCCTCTGTCATAATGCCAACCAGCCAAACCACCAAGCCAGCACCAAGCCCACGCCCAGGCCCCAGTCTCCAGGCAAGCAGCGCACCCGACCCTTGGGCAGTGCTCCGCACGGCATGCTCCACGATCCCGTCCAGGATGTGCCTCTATAATCGATCACAGTGTCCCAAGCCCGACCCCATTCCCGAGCCCAAAGCCCAGCCCCAGTCCCTCCCGCAAGCCACCAAGTTCTCAAGTCCCCAAGCCCACAGCGCACTCACCCGGCCCTTGGGCAGCATGCCCCGCACGGCGTGCTCCACGATGCGCTCGGGGATGCGCGCCTGCACCTGGTCGAACGTCTCCTCCGTCATGCCACCCGGCCGCCCCGAGTGCCGCCTGTAAATCTTCTGCGAGCGCTTCTTGCCCGTCACAGCCACCTTCTCCGCGTTCACCTGCCATTGAAGGGGTGTGGAGGGACGGGGGGTGGGGAGGTGATGGGAGCGGATCGGAGGAGAATGAGCTTCACGTGCAGCGGGTACACCCTTTGCATGTGCTTCTTCCCCGTCAACGTCGCCTACTCCGCGTTCGCATCACAGTCGGGTGAGGGGGAATGAGGGTGAGCAAGAGCGCTCGCGACGGTGGCTTGCAACCCTAACACATGACACAGCCGCCATTCCCACGCGCTCACCATGATATCTGAGTGGACTCGAAAACCATCGCTCCAATGCACTCACCACGATGACTTATGCGCCCATGTCGACGGACGGCGAGTACGTGGGCTGGTCCTTGCCGCGAATGTGGTTCGCGATGGTGGCTTCAACCCTAGAAGACTTCAAACCCTACCACACAGCACAACCGTCGCTCGCACGCACTCACCACGATCACATATGCGCCCATGTCGACGGACGGCGTGTACGTGGGCTGGTTCTTGCCGCGGATGTGGTTCGCGATGGTGGCTTCGGCCCTGCGTGGCTTCAAACCATACCGTACAGCACAACCGTCGCTCCCTCGCACTCACCACGATGACATACGCGCCCATGTCGACGGAAGGCGTGTACGTGGGCTGGTCCTTGCCGCGAATGTGGTTGGCGATGGTGGACGCGAGGCGGCCCAGGCGCTTGTCGGCGGCGTCGACGATGTACCACTGCTTCTCCACGTTCAGATGGTCCGCCTCCTTGGGGTAGTACGTGCTGTTCCACTCGTCCTGTCAACGAGAGAGAGCAGGAGGAATGCACGGTAGAGTGGGGGACAAGGGATGAAAAAGGAGACTGAACCACTGCTTCTCCACGTTCAGATGGTCCGCCTCCTTGGGGTAGTACGTGCTGTTCCACTCGTCCTGTCAGTGAAGTAGCAAGAGGTATCCGTGGTGGAGCGGAGGGGGAAGGGGGGGACGGGAAGGATGAGGGGAAATAGAGCACTGCTTTTCCACGTTCAGGTGATCCGCCTCCTTGGTTCAGTACGGCGTTCCACTCATCCTGACTTTCAGGCCAAGAGGGAAACATTGGCAGTTAGGGATGGAGGGACGGGGAGAGGGAAAACAAACCACTGTATCTCACTGTCAGGTGCTCCGCCCTGAACGATTGAGGGGAGGGGGAAAGGATACGCGGAGAAAGGATCGGAAGAGGGAAAGATGAATGAGAATGGGAATGAACCAAAGGCCAGAGAAGTGGGAGAGGTGGGAGATTCGGCCAGGCGTGGAAGGAGGAGGCATGCGCATCGTCTATGTGTTGCGAGAACGGGACCGACTAGACGGGTGCCATGGCCGCGAGGAGGCTGACCACTAGAACCTGTCATCAACGCCAAAACCCTGCTTCGCATGCTGAACTCACTGCTGGCAGCAGCCCATGCGCGCAAATTACGGCTGTCAGCGTCGCACTCACACGGTTCAGCGCAGCGAGCAACGCAGAAAATAATTCACGCTTGTCAACGCGTACGCGACAACCACTAAACGTTAACTGCGGCAACGTGGTAAATCGCCTTAGATACCTGAACCGTCATTCCGATCGGATAAGCTGATCCGCTACATTATGTTACCTACGCGCTATGTTAGAGAAAATAGGTCATTCTGAAAAAACGTACTAATTTCAGGGTAACAACTACATGCCCTGGATAAACCTTTTTCGGCCTAAATGACACGCTATCACGATCCTATAGCCGTACCGGTCCCTTGTTCTCAATGCCCTCGTACATCCACCGGTGCTCCGCGGGAATGAACCCGCCCTTTCCGGCGCATCTCACGGCGAGCCGGCCATTCTCGCTGGACTGTGGCTTGGCAGCGGCAAGGCTAACCGCCTTGAGCTGTGAACAGCCGCCGGTCAACGCGCTGCTGGAAAACGACAACCTCGAGGCGCTCTGCGCGGAAAGAGACGCGGTCGCCATGGCCAGAGCGACTCAGGGGAATGGAAGCGTCTAGGATCGTTAGAGAGAAACCCGGAGGAAAGGGAATGGAATGGAATGTATGGTGGAGGTGCGGTGGTGGTGAGGGGAGAAGGGAAAAGAACAGCAGTGGCTACGGTGGTGTGCGGTGAGTCTACTGTCTAATGAGTCTCGGGAGTTGACAGGATGATTTGAGGGGAATTCGCCTTGGGAATTGTTCGACGGGTGACGCGTGGCTTTTGATGAGGTAAGTGCTGACGTGGATGTGCAGAAAGAGCAACGAACGGCTGCGATTTGGAGGCGTGGCTGGTCCGCATAATGCCGATCCCAAGGCTTAAACACAAATACTGTTGCTGAAAAGTGACCTGGCCTCTGAACCAGAAAAGACGGGATATACAGAGATATATGTGAAGAGTGATGTTCTGTGTTGTATCCGAGCACTTGAAACGGAGCAGCATAGTGATGGATTCATAGAGAAATATTCGCCCCTCTCCCACTCCCTGCTGCCTACCTGGGTTCGTGCCTGCCTTGCCTTCCACACCACTCTCCCGTGCAACAACCGCACAAATGAATTTCCTGCTTGACTTCTCACTCCATGTAACCTGTCACTGGATTCCCCTTGTAATCTGACTTCCAGATATTTATTGCAGCCACGTCGCTGTTCGTAGTTAGTTGAATCCTCCTAAAAAATGGCTAGTCGCGGCGGCAGCAAGCCCGGCAGGGAGAGCAAGGGCGAGAAGGGCAACAAGGACCTCGCCGTGACCGCCGCCGCGATTGACGCGGCGATGGAGACGCCGCTTTTGGCGGAGGAGGAGGAGGACGAGCTGGAGATGGCGAAAGCGTGGAAGGCGGTGGAGGCGGTGCGCGTCAGCGCGGATCTGCCGGCGGCCGCGAAGCAGCTCATCACGCTGCTGCGCCGCGTCGACCAGAACGGCCGGCTGTACGCCGGGCCGGCCGTTAAGGACGCCATTAGGAGGTGCGCCTCGGATCGCGGGTAGAATGCGGCGTCGAGAACGGATGTGGGTTGCGGTGTAGAGGTGTGAAGGGAGTGTTCGACGCGCGGGGATGCGACGCGCAGGAGTATGACCGTTGGGATCGCGAGGTGTTCGCGCGATGCCCTCTTTCGTGTCTACACACGATTCGGCCTCCGCGCTCGAACGAACCGAAGCTCGGCAGTGCCATAATCGGCATCGTCTGTCTGCCAGCATCGCACACGTCTTCTCTCAACCATTTTCCGCGTCGCTTTTCCCTCCGCATCCCCCCCCTTTCCTGCCCGCGTTATTTGCGATTGCTCCCCCTCATCTCCTCCTCCTCCCCCGTCCCTCATCCTCTCACCCTTCCAGGTACGAGCAGTGTTGGCTGCGCATGGCGTACGGGCAGACGGACGAGGTCATGCGCACGCTACAGCCGCCGCTGGACGTGCAGTGGGTGTGGCTCGTGCACCGCCTCAACCCCGTACGTGCTCCTTGCTCCCCGCTCCCCCCTTGCCTTTTCCCCCTTCGCTCTCCCGTTCTGCTTGTTCCCCACTCCTTTTTTTCACATGTCACTGGTTGGAAAGCCCTCTGTCCTTCCGCCCAGCCTCCATTCGCCTTCCACCCCTCCTGCCCTCCTATCCCAGGAGGCGTATGCAGAGGACTGCAGCACGATTCTTGGTCGGCTGTTAGACGGGGCGATATTCGACGCGGATGATGACGATGTGGGCAGTGAGAGCGCACGGGGCGAGGCAGAGGGACCTTCTCAACCCTGTTTGCCCATCTTTCACCCTCACCTCACCCGCATTCCCCACCCCAGGAAGCGTATGCAGAGGACTGCAGCACCATTCTGGGCAGGCTGTTAGACGGGGCCATCTTTGATCCGGATGACGACGATGTGGGCAGTGAGAGCGCGCGCGGGGAGGCAGCAGCCACGGCCGCGTGCAGGGCGCTCTGGGAGGAGCTCTTTCCCTTGGAGCCCTACGACCCCCCCGCCCTTGCTGCTCCTGCTGCTGCCGCTCCTGCTGCTGGGGATGCTACTGGGAATGATGCGGGTGATGCTTCTGCAGGTGGTGTTGGGGAGGAGAGGGAGGAGGGGAGTGGAGCAGCGGAAGGAGAAAGTGCAGCAGCAGCCACAGGTGGTGATGGTGGTGGGGGTGGTGGGGCGGCGAGGCAGGGCAATGGAGCAGCAGCGCCGCCAGATGCAGCAGCAGCAGCAGCAGCAGCAGCAGGGGTGCCACCAGCTCTGCCCCCCTCGCTCCCCTCTGAACTAACTTATGACCTTGAAGCGGCTGTGGCCCGCCAGAGCAGCTTTTTCTACCAGGTGGGCACCCGGGGGTTGGGTGCCCAGGCCTCTTCCCTCCTCTCCCCTCTCCTCTCTCTCCCCACTGTCCCCGTCCCTCTTCTCCCTCTTCTTTCCACTGCCTCTGCTCCTGTTCCCCTCCATCGTCTCCCCTCCCTTCTCTCCCCCCTCTCCTTTCTTGCCCCTTGTGCCGTGCCCATACCCCCTATTGCCCCCTCTCCTGCTCACCCCCATCGCACCAGGTGGAGCGGCCGTGGATGCTAAAGCGGCAGTACCTGCAGGGGTCGCTGCAGCGGTACCGCATGTTCCTCAACCTCGTCATGCTCAACCGCGGGGTGTTCCTCACCCCCACCTATGACATCGACCTGCTCTGGCATGCTCACATGGTAATAATAGCTGCTCTGGCATGCTCACATGGTAATAATAGCTGCTCTGGCACGCTCACATGGTAATAATAGCTGCTCTGGCATGCTCACATGGTAATAATAACTGCTCTAGCACGCTATGCTATGCATGCACACATCGAAATGGCATGATGCATGCATGCATGCACTTCTGGTAGAACGTGGCGCACACACATGTGGCTTGAATGTAGCAGGTCGATTTGTGATTCATTGTCCTCGTCTTCTAACCCCCGTGCCTACACACGCACCATCAGATGTGTGCAGCAGCATACACCAAGGACAGCGACTGGCTGCTCAGCCGTCTGCTGGGCCATGATGATTCCGACGCCATGCCAGTGGCTGCAGCGGCAGCAGCAGCCGCTTCTACCTCCAACACCATCGACAGCAACACGCGGAAGCGCCTCGAGTGGGCCTACCGAGCCACCGCGCAGCTCTGGGACCGAACCTACGGCTCCCCTTTCGACCGCGCCGGAGCTATGTTTCGAGGCCCGGCGCCCGTGCCTATCCCGCCACCGCCGCTGGTGGCGCCGCGACGGGTGTTGCCTTTGGAAGGAGGGGAGGGGGAGTTTACGGTTGCAGAGTTGAATGCTGGGAGGGGGTTGGAACCGCGGATGACTGTAGAGGTCGATTTCATGGTGTGGGGTTTGCTCAATTTCCATGCCGACAAGCCCGAGAATCTCTTTCTCATGATCCGGACGAAACGCGCTGCCCATGATTTCTCGCTGCGCACGCGCTCGCTGCCCGCCCGCCCTGGCTGCCGCCCGCCAGCCTGGCGGCAACGGTGGGCGCTGGAAGCTGAGGTGGCGACAGCAGGGTTGCAATTCGAGCTACGAGCTGAATCAGGGACTTTCTGGGGCGGGTTATGGGGCCCGAGAATAGTGGGGAGTGGAGGTATTACCTGGGAGGAGGTGTTATCTCGCCCGGCTCTTCTGGTGGATAGACAGGTGGCGCTGGCGCCTGTTGATCTGCTCACTGCTGTGGGGATCAGGGGGGACGGGGACGATGCGGCAGGGGGGAATAAGGCAGCAGGAGCATCGGGGGGAGCGGATGGATCGGGGGGGGGGAGCGGGGCGGGAGCGGGGGCGCTGGTGGTGAGTGGGGGAGGGGGGAAGGCGAGTGAGTTGCCGCGGGTGCATGTGGCGGTGTCCCTCACACCCCCCACACCGGCGCCTTACCTGCTGAGGACAGTGTTCATGCGCGGCACTGATGACAACGGCGCCATGATCTGTGAAGAGATAGCCGTGCAGAGGGACTTTCGACCGCAGGTGGGTGGGTGAAGGGTGAGTGGGACTGACTTCCATCCGTCCCCACGTGGGTGCAGGAGAGGTGGGAGGGTGCATGTGGCCGTTTCTCTGACTCCCCCGATGCCTGCAACATACCTGCTGAGAACAGTGGTCATGCGCGGCACTGATGACAACGCTGCCATGATCTGTGAAGAAATAGCCGTGCAGAGAGACTTTCGGCCGCAGGTGGGCGGGGGGATGTGGGGTTGGAGCTTGGAGAGAGGTGGGTGGGTGTGAGGTGGGTGAGAATTTGCAGAAGAGCGTGGGTTTAATGAGCCGTGGGGGTTATCACCAGTTTGCCTCATGGCACCACCACCACTGTTGGCCGCATTATTTTTTATCGTCTTCCTACTCTCGTCTTCGTGGTTCGCTCACCTCCCTCCCCTCCAACCCACCCTTTCCTCCCCACCAGTACGGCCAGGGGGAGTCACGCACAGTATACAACCACGAGGACAAAGAGGTGTTTTCCCTTCCTCTTCCCCTTCCCACTCCGTCACCCCTTACGGTCCCTCTTTCCTTGTTTCCTCCCCTTCATCCCGTCCCCCACCAGTACGGCCGGTGGGGGTCGCGCACGGTGTACAACCACGAGGACAAGGAGGTGTTTGTTATACGCAAGAGGTGGGTGCTCTCACCCACCCAGAGCAGCCATTTCAGCTCACATGTCCTCCTGACAGGTCACCCTGTCAATCAGACCTCTCAAATCACGCCTGTTGGTCCGCTTGGCAGTGCGTCCATCACTCGATGCACTCTCATTCGAATTTCGAATGCATGATCACTACCGCTTTGCGGTGTGTTTCGGTGTGCGCCTGTGCTCCTGTCCAGTTTCAACACATTCCTCTCGAAACTGGAGTTGGAGGCGTCGCAACACATGCCTCTGTTGCTCGCATGGCTGGGCTGTGCGTGTGTGTGCATGGCATGGCAGGGTGGCCAAGGGTACATGGCATGCGCGCTATCGGCCTCTGCCTGTGGAACCAAAGGAGAAAGTCATTCTCTTGCACCAGGTGGGCGTTTTGTTGCTCCCAGGTGGGTCATTCTGTTGCACTCATGCGAAACTACCAATGCATTCTGCTCTTCTCGCTTCATAACTGCCCCACCCGCGTGCCCCTGTGCATCACTTTCCCACTCTTCCCCGCTCCTCCCGACTTCTCTCAATCCCTCATAGGGTGGGTGGCGCTACATCGAGACCGACCCTGTCCCTCTACCCGAGCCAGAGCCACCGCACCTGCGGGTGGGGGTGGTGCGGGGGCCGGTGGTGGCGCAGGCGGTGCCACAGGCGTCGGATGACTACGATCAGATTCAACGGTTCTGCTTGCTCGACTGCCTTCCCAACGGCCGCACTGCCACGGTCACCATCGAGCGTCGACGCGACGCCACGATTTTCATCCAGGGGATAAAGCTGACACTTGAGGAGGAAGGGACCAGCCGGGTGAGTGGAGTGGATACGATTTTTACTCTTCAGGTGCACATGAATCAATCTGGTACCCCAAGCTAATCACTGGGCATCAAAGGGGAGGAGGCTAGTTCCTCACCTCACCCTGCTCATCAGAAGAAACCCTGCATTTCCTTACCATATCCCAGCAGGTGCTGCTGCTGCCAGGTCGTCACCACAAGTACAAGGTCCCAGGAGCCCCTTCAGTGGAAGACCTAGGCTTCGCAACGCTCATCCGCTTCCCTCCAGATGCCCCTCACGGCCGCGCCACAGCCCTACTCAACTGGAAGGGGGCAGCCATGGAGGTCGCACCAGATGAGTCTGTCCCCCTCGTGCTGCTGCTCTGCACATGCCTCTCCGAGGCTATTAATGATATGGCGGGAATCAACCGCGTCAGAAGGTTCCGGCGCCTACCATTGGCCGATCCCGACCCGGCTAATCACTGGGGCGCGCTGAGCATATCGAGGGACACAGTTGGCGGGGCGGCGGCAGCTGCGGCGGCCAAGAGTGGCGAGGAGGAGTTTTCGTTTTCGAGTGTGGAGATGAGCCGGCAGAAGTGGTGGAATAGGAGGCCGCTGCGGTTTGCAGTGGGGGCTGGGAGCTGTGGCGCTGGCGCCTGTGGGCCCAGTTGCACTGGCCCTGTTGACATCTTCAGTGGGTAAGGCTGTGCTGTGGTACCAGTGTCTTGATGTATGGATGTCAAATACGGTAGCTTGTATGTACCCATTGGTGTGAAGAGGAAAGAGGAACATGTGATGGTAGTGGTTTCTTATGTATACAATGAACTTGCATAAGGTATAAACTGTCTTCTGATGGGAACAGAAGCTTCCAAATTGAGGGTGAAAATTTCCTGTGGTGTTTGTGGGGAGGGATCATGACAACCACACTGCACTATAACTGAGTGCTTGGTGCATTCACTACTGAGTGGGTGAACTCAAAGGTACTACTAATGACAGTGCTATTAGCATTGTGTATTAACACGTCCACACAATGCTACAACAATTCGTACAAGTACGCCTCTATACCCAAGCCCAACTCATCCCCAGCACCAACACAATTGACACCATTCTTTGTTGAGAAACGGTTTTTAGATGACGGTGCCATCGGCAATGGTAGCGTTCTTGAGCACCACTGTGATGCCCGAGCGAATGTAGAAGCCGTCCGTTGACCGATCTGCCTCCTCCACATGCTGGCAATGGAAGAAAGGGGTGATCGGATGGGGGAGAAGGGGTGAGCAGATGGGGGAATGAAGAGGATCTTGTCAGTGGGTAAGGATTTCAAAAAGCAGACTAAAAGCAGCTTTCATGTTGAAAAGCTTTGTGAAGTGGCAGGAAAGAGGCTAGAGTGCAGGATGTTATCCTGGAAGCATGACTCACGTCCTTGTTCTCCAGGATAACATTCTGTCCGATGCGTGCGTTCTTGTCCACAATGGCGTTGCTGCACATCCCAGAGACACACACACAGCAATACACAGGAACACACAGTAAGGAACACACGGATCAACATTTCAGCACTATGGTCTTTCCCGCATCTGGAACACACCTTGCTCAACTGCTGGCCCCACTGGTAAAACCCCCATTCTCCCTCCCATCGATCAGGTTGGCTCCAGAGCCCACAGCCGCCTTGCTTGCTGCCAGTAGCATGCTTCCCAACCTCTCTAGATTGCACCATATGATCCCGCTGAACACACAGCCCACAGCCCTCTCTCAACTTTAGAACGTCGCCAGTGCCCACAGCACATCTGATATTTGTTTTGGCACGGACACCTTGCTCACCATACCTCTGCCTCTCCCCTCTCCACTACCACCCCTTCCAATGCCCACAGCGCACCTGATAATGGTGCTGGCGCCGATTCTCACCGGCACCGTGCCTGCTGCCAGCAGCAGCAGCGCGGTCCTCTCTGTGTCCCTCTCATACCTCAAGGACACCACGCCATACACCTCTCGATGTCCCTTTAGCCCGTCCTACACCTCTCAGGGCCCACAGCGCACCTGATGATCGTGTTGGCGCCAATGCCCACTGGCACCTTGCCTGCGGCCAGCAGCGCGGCCCTCTCCGCGTCCGTCTCGTAAAAGTCAGCCCCCACCACCATGGTGTCCTGTGGATACCAGAGGCGTGCCACACAACAGGTGCAGGAGAAGAAAGTGAGGGAGTGAAGGGGCGATTGATGGGGAGAGGTGAGAGAGGGTGGCAGCCCCAAGAAAATCTCCCGCCGTAGCCACTCCCTGCTTCGCCATAGCCAATCTCTGCTCCCGCCGTGACTGTCCCTCGCAGCTCTGAATCACACCCACACCCCATACTGCTTCGAGCATCACACACACCCATACTCCTCTGCTCTGCACCACTCTGACTCCATCTGCATCACACCACACGGCGCCAGTTCTTTGTCCAGAGAACCAGCTACTGCCAGCGCCGGTACCATCCCGGTGCAACATCTTTCCAGCAGCACCTTGATACGATGTGCGTGCCTTTCCCTCTAGAAAAGACGGGGGGGGCGAGTGACTGACCTTGAGAATGACGCCGTTCTCGAGTCTGGAACGGATGCCCACGATGCAGTGGTCCACCGTGCAGTCGCGCAGGAAGCACCCGTGTGAGATAATCGACCGCTTCACCTGCTCGTACACAGGAATGCACACGCGCCCGGAAGTGAGCAACGCGTAGCAGATTAATACAGCGCTTCAAGACCCTAGACAAGCAGTGGTAGGGATATTGTAGGAGGATATTTAGGAAGATGAGTGGCATGGCGGTAGGCAGAGGCGGGCGTACCTGGCAGCGTTCAATCTGCGTGGGCGGCAGGTAGCGCGGCGACGTGTAGATGGGGTTGGCCGCGTCGTAGAACCTGAACTTGGCGTCCTGTCATGTGGTGGCCGGGAAGGTTTGGGGAGGCGGTTGGGGGCGAAAGGTTAGAGAGGAGATTCATTGTACAGATACGCATGAGTCGAGTTCATTCGCTGGTGGACACACGCGAGAACTGACAGGCAACGAGTGAACAGAACACGGGTGTTTCAGAAAATGGACACTGGGGGCAGGTGAGGCAAGCCCGGGAGTAGCGGAGAATGGAGTGGGCCAGGGCATGGAGAGGGGAGAGAGGAGAGTGGAGAAGGGCTAAGGGCGTACAGTGTCGGTGAGGTTGAGGTTGGCGTCAAAGAAGGACTTGATGGTTCCGATGTCCTCCCAGTACCCGCCGAACAGGTATGCCTGCACGTTGTACTCGGCGGCCGACGCGGGGATGATCTCTCCGCCGAAGTCGTTGGACGTGGGGAAGCGCCACCTGCGCGCAGAACGAGGCAGCAACGGGCGTGAGCGACGACAGCATGTTGGCGTTACATGAGCACAACGCGCGCATCGAGTATGCGCGGGACGAGGACATGTTGGCAAGGAGAGAGGAACCGACCGAAGCGGGACGGGAGTACGTGGGAAGTGCGTCGAGAAAACGTCAGGAGCGGCGGCAGCATTACCCGAAGAGGCGAGACCGCATTACTTGAGGAGCGGCGGCAAGAATACCTGACTAACGGCATGGGGTTACCTGAGGAGCTTGAGCAGGATGTCCTTCTTGAAGACGTAGATGCCCATTGACGCAATGTAGGGGAACTTTGCCGCCTCCTCCTTGGAAATGCCGAGAATCGACGTGTCCACCTCCTGGTAGCCAGCAGCGGGAGAGCACGGAAGGGGAGGGAGGGGGAGGGTGGGGGGGTCTACGAAAAATGAAGGGCACGCAGGTAACATGGGGGTCGCGCGTATTCCCAGAAAGAAACATCAGGGGGAAGAACGACGCGGTAATAACGGACGCGAGTCCTACGACTGACGGGTGCAGCCCTTCAACTGACCATGGCCTTGAGGTCGGCACCCTTGGGCTTCTCTGCAAAGCTGACGACGCGGCCGGACTCGTCGATCTTCATCAACCCGAAGTCGGACGCGCGGCTGCGAGCAAGGACAGCGAATCATGCGTTAAAACACCAGCGTACCAAACGGAAACTCGACGCATTGCAACGCTCGGGATAGAGTAGCACAGAGGATATTGATATTCCAGGAGTTGGTAAGTTGTGGTGTGGCGGCATTCACCTGTCGTCCATGGGCAGAACGGAGATGGTGATGTCGGCGTTGGTGTCCTTGTGCTTCTGCAGTCGGCAACAATCAAGAACAGAATCATTGCAACGCTCGTTAATAAACAGAGTCTCTAATCAGGAGTGAAAGTGGACAGCCATGACATACAGGGTAGTCAGTGACATTGCTCAAGGTTCAAATTTCCACTGATGCTCAGAGAGGCCTGGCGCATTGCCTGCACGAATGCACGTTACCTGCACGAAGTCCATGTAGTCCATGCGATAGAGATGGTCGCCGGACAGAATGACCACATCCTCCACGTGCTTGTTCTTCACATCCTGCCACACCCCAACACCGTCCCCAGGTACGCACACCGTGAGGCGCTTGACAAATGTGCCAAGCTATCGTTGTATCTATGTTCTAATCTGACAAAAGACGCCAAAAAAACGTGAAAGTGGCCCGTGAAGAGCGAGCGACGGTCGCACCTCGAAGAGCCAGGAGAACTGCCGCACGGCATCGGCGGTTCCTTGAAACCAGTTGGAGCCCGTCGCAGGGGTCTGGGTGGCCGCAAGAGCCTGAGGAAAAAGGAACAGGAAACAGCAAAACAAGAGAGAGAAAATAATCGGTTTGACCGCATGCATTTCCTATAGGAATGGAAGATAATGTGAGATAGAAGCGACGAGGTGCACGAGTACGCACCTCGACGAATCCGTCGCCAAAGTTGACGCCGTTGCCGAAGTTGTAGGTGCGCGCCAAGTGACGGTTGAGCGAGGCGGAGTTGAACTGCGTGAGGATGTACACCTTGTTGATGCCGCTGTTGATGCAGTTGCTCATCGGCACGTCGATCAGCCGGTACGCGCCGCCGATGGGCACCTGGCCAACGGAAAGATCGGCATGACATAGATTCACGCGTCAGCCAACATAATATGCAGAGTGTGCCTGGAAAACTAAGGCGCACATAGGATCTGATGGATTCATTCCTCGGCTACGATGCGTACCGCGGGCTTGGCGCGGGTCTTGGTGAGAGGGAAGAGACGCGTGCCTGCACCTCCACCGAGAATCACCGAGACGACCGACTTGGGATCGGCGCGCTTTGTCCTTGCCTGCCATGGATGAGAAATGGCGTACGAGGTAAGTAAGCTATCAGAACTACTTCCCAAGGAGAACTATGGACGAACGCTAGATTGAGGCTACGGCGAGGTCTGTCCTTACCACAGACTGCTGTGGTGTGGCTTCGGCGAGAACGGCGGAAACGGCAGCTTTCTTGGCTGCGCGCACCGCGACCTTCTTAGACTCGCATCTCAAGGCCTTGCCTTTCAGCCCTGACTGCGCAAATCCCGCAACTTTCTCGCCGGAAAACGCCTTCCTGGACGCGGCATCGCTGGCCGATACGGCTGCAGGGACCGACAGGCTTCGCACAGCGGTGGCAGCCATTTTAGTGTTATCTAGCACTCTTGGATGTGGAAAGATGTGCTAATCTGTGTCAAAATTCCACGACTCCTGTCTTGGAATTCTGCTGGTCGCTCCTTGTGAAACAGAAGCAAGAACAGTTACGTATAGAAGCAGCATCCTTTCTTCGCCTGCTCCACTGTACCATGGGGAATTGTGGGGAATTTTGGCACTGTGGCTTATCTTCCAGACCTAGTGGATGAGAACGCACCTTGGCAGGTGGTCCCTGATCCATGGCGGAAAGCTGCCAGCGTGGCATGCAGCTGTGCTGGCGACAGTCGTCTGCCTGCTCGCCGGGCACTCGAGAAGCTCGTGCCCCGTCACGCGCACTGTCGTCCGTCAGCGATCTCCAGGAAGATCCGTCGCTGGTAACATGCGACACAGCCACGTGGCGAAGGTTAAGAGCTTGTGGGGAGTCATGGCGGACATGGAGGGTCTTCACTTCTCAGCCACTGGTTTGAACGAATCAAAAGATATTCGTACGCCACCACAAAGCATCTTGAACTCTATATCGAAAAACACTAGAACGATAGAATGTATGCCAGGATAGAATAATCTTTGAACCCAAACTACCCCATTTCAAATGCACTAGGTAGGAGCTGGGCCCACAACTTGCTAACGTGGTGTATTGGTGCTGTCACTGAACTGACACAGCTGGATAAGCGCTTGTAGTTTCTATCTGTATGGTGATCAATCGGTGCCATGACAGTGTTTTTACTACAAACTATCACAATCTTCAAGTAACTCAGTTACCTAGCTACATGCCACTGACTGTACGTAGGGTACCGTATGTACAAAATTTACAGGCATCTTCACCGTCAACATTGAAGAGCCACCATCCCTCAGGAAGACTATTGTACTGTGGCTAGTACAGCAACAAACTTTCAGGCCCCGCGAAAGAAGTCAGATGCACTGGCATTGCCTTCACGCAGCACATGCCTCCTCCCACCCACAACCTCGTTGCACTCAGGACAACGAGACTCCACCCACGCCCTGCCACACTCCCCTATCACATACACATGCCCGTTCGGGCACCGGTACCAGTGCCCTCGTCCCAGACCTATCGCTCTGTACACATCACCCTTCTCACGCTCCGTCAGCGCGAAGTAACGTGGCGCGCCCTCAACACATGCTTCCAGGGCAGGTAGCTCCTCATCGAGCAGCTTCCGAGCGCTTTCTCCAAGGCTGGCCTCGACTCTGATGGAGAGCAAGTGGTGATTGGCCACCATGCCACACTGTGTCCTGGCCTTCTCCAGATACTCCAGCTGCTGCCTCTTTGCCATATCCTGCAAGAAAGCACAATGCCAAGGTGAAGTTGACAGGAGGTTTTTGAAAATGTGCGATATTTAGGATGAGTCATGAGGGCATGTTAGGAGTTGCAGCAAATAGACACAACAGCAGCGGTGATCTCACCAGGGCAGCCGGGGTGTTAGAGAGCAGGCGTTCCGCCATCAAGCCCTGCACGAACGCACACAACACATCTACCAGCTCCAGCCGTGCCCTCGCCTCCAGCCGCACCGCCTTGCGCCGCCCAGCCCACTCCACCGCCTCCCCCACATGCCTCTCCGCGCTCCTCACACTCGTCCGCACCACCTCCCTGCACCTCTCCACACAGCGCGTCAGATACACCATCTTCCTCCTGCTGCTGCTGCTGCTGCTGCTCTCCCCGCTCGCGCCAGCCAGAGTCCTCCGGAGATTCCCCAGGAGGTTCCGCAGTTGGAGGAAGTTTGCTGCCATTAGCAGCTGGAAGGCCTTCCCTAGCATCATGCGCGCTTCACAGAGGGGGCGTGGATCCGGGTGGGGGACATACAGCAACTGGCACTCCTCCTCCCATGTGGACTCAGACGACCCCACACGCCCTTGCCTGCCCTTCCTGCTATCAATGGCGAGTGACCTATGCCCAAGCATGTAGTGTCGTCTCTGTAGGGCCGCTACAGAGGCCTGGTAGGTCTGCTGCGTTGGTGGGTTCCCAGCGGTGGCACACAGCTGGCCTGTCTCATGCACCAGGCGTGCTGCCGCCTGAGCTACCTCCTGCAGTCGCCTGGGCTGAGCGGATTCTGTGAGTGAGGAAATCACCTGGCTCAACCGGGCTAGCTTCCTCTGCACCGCTTCTTGGTCTGCCAAGCAGCTGAGAGCGAACTTGCGCTCTGATTGGTCCAGCAGGGCCTTGTTCACCATCCTGCCATAACGGCGGAGCCCTGTGATAGGCTGACGGCACTCTGGGCAGCCCTTGAGAGCAGACAAATCACCATCCTCAAACGGTAGCACTGCCACCCACTTGCGCCCACACTTCCCTCCACCTGCGCTCATCCCACTAGACCCACTCGCACCCCCAGTTACCCCACCAGACCCACCATCCGCGACTAAATAAACTTGGTTCAACCCCATGTGGCCATCCAGCGTATCCACCGTATAAGCATGTCCGCATCCCAGTACAAGCACAGGGCTCTCATCCGGTTCAATCTCCCCCAGCGTCTCCAGTGTGACTAGATCCACTGTCAACCCTTTCTTCTCCGCTGCCCCACACCCAGCAGCCGTGCAAAACGCCTCCGAAGGGCATTTCTCAGCACAGAGAGACGGACACTGGTGGCCGCACTTGAGCGTTTTCTCACACCGTTCCTCGCAGGGGAGGAGGTCGCAGGGGGCGCCGCAGGGGAGGGAGCACGCCCCTTGGTGAATGCAGCGCCACCCGCAAGGCTCGGCGCACGGGGCACAGGTGCGGTGGCAGGGCTGCGGGCAGGAGCTGTGCTGGCAGGCCACGAGGCACTTGCGCGTGCAGGGGCTGCAGGGTCGGTCGCTGTGGCAGGTGTCGGGACACAGGTGACCGCAGGGGAGCGGCCGCTCGCACCGCTGCATGCACTTCCTGTGCTTCCTTGCCAACTGCTGCTGCACCTGCTGCTGCTGCTGCTGCTGCTGCTGCTGTGCCTGTGTCTGCTGGGGCTCTGTGGTGGCAGCTGGGTCAAGGATGCAGTGGCCGCAGGGAGAGATGCACGTGTGCCCGCAGGAATCCTCGAGCACAGCCCCGCAGCGAGCGGTGCAGAGCTTGGGGTTGCTTGTCCTGGCTGCCGCCTCGCTGCACTTGACTGTCTGCTTGTGCCCGCACAGTGGCATCGTCACCTCCACTCTCTCCCTGCCATGAGCCACACGATTGGATTAACAAATGATGCTAGTGCGGGCAGCACAGGCAGTTCGAAACAACGAGGTCAGGTAAAAAAAGAGTGGAAATAGGAGAACGGGTGGAAGAGGAGACAGATGGATGAACTCACGGGCAGAAGATGGAGGTGGGCTTCTGAGCTTGGAAGCACGGAACATTGAAGGCTGGATGGCCACACGGGAGGGTGAGCTCTCTGATGGTGACCGAGCAGGGGCCACAGGGCTCCCCACACTGCTTGGGGCACGTGTGCTGGTACGGGCACTCCTCCAGTGGCCGGATCCAGTTGCACTCCTTGGGACAGAACGCCCTCGCGTGTGCCCTGTCATCGCCGTGGCACCTGTTGGGTGAAGGAAGGAGGACAGATGGGTGACGAAGATGGAAGGGTGTCTCTAAGCATTGTTGGAAGCACAAGTGCTGCTATGAATCCCGGCACGATACTTGCGTGCCATGCATGCATGCATGCACTTCAGGCTATGCCTGCACGAACCACATGCACCCATATCTGACCTGCGGGGGCAGGTGTGACCGCAGGGGGTGAGGCGGAAGCCGCACATCTGGGAGCACCCGCCCTCACTGGCCTTCTCCCTGAACTCCCTCGCCTCATGAATGTGCGTCACCGTGTCGCTGTGGTTCACACACCGCAGGGGAATGGACCTTCCAATGCGCCCCCTGCTCTGCAGGATGGTGAGGATTCGCGGCCAGAGCACGGACTTAGAGCTCGCTCTCATGGTGCTCGCGTTGCCTGCTCTCAGAGTTGGGATTGGGACGGAAGGGGGTAGAATGCCCCAGGGAGGGAAGAGGGAAATGGAAAGGCGTTATTGGCATGCGTGCCTTGTGTTGACATTGGGTGGGAAACAACACGAGATGGAAAACGTCACTGGGTTGGGTCATCTGGCTTTTGTGGGTATGCGATGCTGCCACGCACCAATGATGTACATGCCATGCTTGGCGCGGGAGAGCAGCACGTTGGTACGGTTGGGGCTCTTGAGGAATCCGATCTTGCCGTCCATGTTGTTGCGCACGAGAGAAATTATCACCACCGTGCTCTCCTCTCCCTGGAAACTGCACTCCCCCGCCACACAACAGCACAGAGCGACTTGAGAGAATTCTCAAGGGCAAACCAGCAGCAGCAGCAGCAGACAGCATAGGACGGGCAAATGAGAGTCCCCGAGTCGGCCTCACTGAACAACCAGCAGCCTTGCTGCCAGATCAAGCCTGAACAGAGGAGAAGGACACAATCACAGCATTCCGCTGCTCACGGCAGTTCTTGCCAGACTTACTTGTCCACCGTAGCCAACCGCACTGCATCCTTCAGATTCGCCGTCGTCGCCTTGGGGGCAGTTGCATCCAGACCCATCCCCAAACCCTTCCCCGCCACCCACGACCCTCCAGACGCCCCTGCCCCACGTCCACCCTCCCCCACCTCACCTCCACCTTCCCCAGCTCCACCCTTCTCCTCCGCCTCCTCCACCACCTCCGCATCCCTCTCCCCCAGTCGCACATCCACCACCTGAGAAAGCGCCTGGCGCAGCTTCAGCAGCTGGCCTACATAAGGAGTGAGGATGGTGATCTCCCCTCCCGTGTACCCCTGCTGTAGGATGTACGTGGCGAGACCCACCACCAGGGCCGCCTCGCCCTCGTTGCTCTTGGACTTGCCCTCGTTGAAGTCGTCTAAGCCGCTCTCAGGGCAGTCGTGGTCCCAGAAGTGCAGGTTGCATGCCATGCCGCGCACGTCAGGATAGCTGGTGAGGGGGAGAGAGAGGGAGGGGGGGAGGGAGGCAGAGAGGGAGCGTTGGAGGCTTCCCCTCCCGTGTGCCCCTGCTGCAGCAGGTACGTGGCGAGGCCCACCACCATCGCCGCCTCGCCCTCGTTGGGCTGCGGGCTTGGGCTGCGGGCTTGGGCTGCGGGCTTGGGCTTAGTCGTCTAAGCCACTCTCGGGGCAGCCGTGGTCCCAGAAGTGCAGGTTGATCCCCATGCCGCGCACGTCGGGGTATCTACGGAGGGACGGAGGGATTGTCTTTGAGACATTGAAATTTAAGGCGCGCGAATACTTGGAAGGCTGCCGTGGTCCCAGAAGAGCAGGTTGCATGACATCAACACATTGAGGTGCGATTGTGGAGGGCAAGACGAATGGATCGATGAACGGACAGGTGGGCTATAATTGAGCTATTTGTCGATGTGTTTGAAAGAAAACCGGGACTTCGGTTCGGGGGACATCGCAGCCGGCAAAAGAGAGAGCAGACAAATACATAGAGCAACAGGGACTTGCTGGCAGAAAGATACAGGGAGCGCCCTGAGATGAGAATACCGAGAAGGAAATAGGTCAACGTGCATACCCGTGCACAAGGGGGTGGTCCTGCAGAGCGGGGTAGATGGTGCAGCGGATGAGGTCGGCAATCTCAGGGCGCATGCGGCGCTGCGTGGCGAGCGTGTACACGGGCAGGCGTCTGGAGAGTGCGAGGCGCTCAAAGAGAGAGACGTCCAGGTCGAAGCCTTTGTGCGAGTCCTTGCTCAGCTCGTACACCTCCACCTTAGGCCGCAGCTGCAGGTGGTCGCCTGGCACGAGAGACGGGCATGGAGTTGGGTATTGACAGAAGGTATGTTGGTAGGTGAAGGATTAGCAAGGGAGTCCTTGCTCAGCTCGTACACCTCCACCTTGGGGCGTAACTGCAGATGGTCGCCTGTTAGGAGGGACGTGCCATGTGGGCATTGAGATGGATTTGAGGAAAGGGGAAGGCGGATGAACAAGAATCTCGCCCTCCTTGCTCAGCTCCAACACCTCATGCGGGTAATAAGACAGGCATAGGCACGCCACAGGGGTATTGGACAAATGTATATGCGACACATACATGCATGGGCTGAGGCGTGCACAACCACCCCAGCAGCTGCCATACCGATAAGAATGACGTGCTGGGTGCGAGGGGTGAGCGAGGTGAGAATATGCGCCTCCAGCACCTCAGCGGCCTCCTCCACAATGACGACGCGTGGACCGAGCGCCGTGATGAGGCGCTGCATCTTAGCCACACCGGACGTGGTCATTCCCACCACCTGCGCCCTCTCTAGGATCTCCAACTCCTCCATTTGCTGCAACTCACTGCGCTCCTTCACCTTCCTGCTCACACATGCATACAACACAGGTGCAGCTCAGCATTCACATTCGCAACTCGCAGAAAAGAGCACAGGGATTTGTGCAAGGAAAGGCGTGAGAGGGTAATACCTTGCAAAGTTCTCAACCTCGGCCTCGATAGCAGCATTCGCTGTGTCCCTCAACTCCCCCACCCAGTGCTCCAGCAGCTTCCGCCTCTCCTGCGCACTGGTCACCCATGGATCCGCCACGCACAGCAACTCCTCAATCTCTCGGTCACTCGTTTCATCTACCTCCACTGATTCCATCAGATTCTCCTCCACCTGCTCCTCCCATTCGCCCCTGCCTGTTTGCTTGTTCAAGTCACCAAATGCTTGGGATAGATCCTCCACACTCACCCCTCCTTGCTGCCGGCCCTGAGCCCCCCACATGCCTCCCCCTATCTCTGCCCCACTGCTCTCATTTCCATATCCCCCTCCTCTCTGCAGCCCTGCTCCCCCTGTCGCCGCACGCCCAAGCCAAGAGCGCAAGCCAGCAGCAGCTCCGCTGCCTGTCGCCAGCCCTACACCACCACCACTGCTGCCGCCTCTAGCATGGCCCAGCCTTCTCACCACCGCCTCACCATCCCCATCACTCCCATCATCACTCTCATCATCACCATCACCATCAGCATCCACATAGATGGACGACATGAGTTCAACGAGCCCTCTCAGCTCATCCCCCACGCCGTCATCTCTCTCATTGCTGCTCACATGCCACCCCTCCCCAACCTCAACCCCTCCAAGCCTTCCCAAGGCTTCATATGGATTCAGAGTAGGGCCCTCATTGCTGGCAGTCGATACACCCACCTTTTCCCTGTCCCCTATCCCCGTTTGCATCATTCGAGGAGGCAAATCAAGCCTGACGGAATCTCTTCCCTGGTTAAAAGCTCCCTTTTTGTGGCGGGAAGTTTTCTTTGGCAGCCCTCGCTTCCATCGGCCCCAGTTGTCTTGCCCACCCACTTCCTGCCAAGGGAGCAGCAAAAGCAAAACGGTCAGGATCAGGCGGACGTTGGAGTTGCATTGTGCGCGGAAATCCCGAGAAAGAGGAGATAGAAGGCATGCGCCCGTCCACCATCCAACCAACCCACCTGAAACCCTTTGTTGTCTGCCGCCTTGCTGGCAGCATGGAGGGCATAGAAGAAGCCGGGGTGGTTGGCGAGGAGGTGCGGGGCGATGGAGCGCCAGGCGAGCGAGATTGCATTGTCTCTGCGGTGCTGCAGGGCGTCACTGTGGGCACGGATGACTGCCTCCACCTCCTTGAGCCTGCTGTGCACCTCGTAGGTCGACTGCCTGTAGCCTGCATGCATGCACACACACAACCATTATCAAAAGCCCACACCAGACAATGGACAACTCTTGAGACGTCTCAAAAGTCACCTCGTGGGCCCAGTGCACGCGCACACACGAGGACACAGCAGGCAGGTGTGGAAGGTGCGTCTTTCTGTGCACAAGACTCTGTTTCTTGTTCTGTTCCTCGTAATAAGGCTGTACTCTTCTAATGCGAAAGATTAGCAAGTAGGCAACTCACTGCGGCTGTGGTGAAGGTGCGTGTCTCTCATAATGGTGGCCAGATTGAACTGCTGCAGTGACTCGCACCTGCTCCTGCCCCCCACTCGCACCACCTGCTCAAACAGGAACCATTGCAGATACCACCACCACAACAACAGTCTCCGTCGCCTCAGGAAAAACGTGTGGGAAGGACGGGTGACACATGATAGTTGCCGCGCCATGAACCACCTCTGGTTGGAAGAAGGACAGCAGCAGAGCAAGGAATGTCACGAAGAACAGCCCCCTCCCCCCCCCCTCCTCCCCCCCCAACAGCAACTGAACTCACGTTCCTGATGCCACTGGCGATGAGCCCCTCCAGGAACTGATCCAGAGCATGGTTGGTGAAGCACACACACAGGATGGGACCCAGTAGACCGCCCCCACTGCTTGCTCCACCAGAGCCAGCGCCCTTGAGGGCATTGCTCAGCAGGATCTCCACCAGCTTTATTCCCACAAATGTCTGCCATCCCATGACAAACGGTTGGTCACTATTAGTACAGTATTGCATGTAAGGTCTACGCGTAGCTCCTCTGCCATAATTCAGACGAATCCTTCAACAGCAGATACCACCCACTGGTTACCTCCCACTCTGTCAGCACACCCACTGAGTGAGGTCAGCCTCACGACCCAACTGAGTTACCCGATTCTGAAACACCTCACAACCCACCTTGCCTGTCCCCGGAGGGCCCTGCAGCAGAGCGAACTCCTGAGTAAGGGCAGCCTGGAGAGCCACTGCTTGAGGCTCGTCCAGTGATGTGCAGCGCAGGAGAGGATTGATGGGGAAGGCGGTGGGGTTGGAGATGGCCACGTTGCTCAGAGCAAACGCGTCCTCTGGAGTGGCGTCTGCCTGCTGGGAGGACGATGGTGCCTTGGTCTTGAGCAGCAGGCTCATGTTGTACCTGCCAAACATACGTACGGAAGATTTGTCTCTGCCATCTGCCAAAATGCTGAGAGAAACACACAGAACTACCAACGACAGCCTCTAAAAAAACGTGTTTTCCATGATTATCCATCCTCTCCTCTCCTCTCCTCTCTTCCCCAACCTGTCCTCCTTGACCTCGCTTCTCCACTTCATTCCTCTTTCCTTCACTCACAATGGAGCTGGACGAGTACCCAATCCCTCTACCATCCTCCTCTCCACTCTCCACTCCCCCACCCCCTCCAGGGCCTCCACCCCACCCCTCAGTCCCGTCCCACTTACATCATCCCTGCTTCGATGTATGCAGGCAGCGTATATCCCAGATTCACAGCAGCCCCGCCAGGTGCCCAGCCAGGTGCCCTGCCAGGTGTCCCGCAGATGTACTCAGCAAAGGGCAGCGAGGCCTCAGTGATGCTCTGAAGCGCCTTGAGGATGGGCTCATACGCAAAGAAGCTCCCATGCGCCTCCAGCATCACCACCTGCGTGCTGCCCCCACTCCCACCACTCCCTGCAGCACCCCCTGCAGTCCCCGCACTGCCGTCTCGGGCGATGAGCCCCAGCAGGTCTGCACTGAACCCGTTCCCCCCACACGGCTGCACGCCGATCTGAGGCCGGGCAGTGGCGAGCCTCTCCGTGTCCCTCGCTGTGATGGTGGCGAATACCAGCCGGTGCGAGCAGGATGCATCTGCTGCACTGCCTTGTTCCATGGGCTCCCTGTGACGGTGCTGCTGACTTGGACGGTGCTGGATCCACAGGCACACCAGGGAGCCGTTCTGCAGCCTCCGCGTGTTCTCCCAGAACTCCATCCTGCCAACCAAGCAGGGAAGATGTTGACTGATTGCTGACTGCGAGTCAATCCGAGAAGACGTCGCATGGACGCAAATCCGGTGCATATTCACCCCAAAGGAAACAGAAAACTGGCATAATCTGGCCTCATCAAATCAATGTACCTGTTACGAGAGCGCCGGCCACGCGGCATGGGAGGCTCCAGAAAGTCAATCAGAAAGTAGACGCCGTTTCGCTTATCAGTGTTAATAGACAGCACGTGCACGTCTCTGAGCAGATACACGTCCATGTCCTCAGATGAAAACCCCACGACGCCCTTCATGTCATCCGTCAGACCCCTCACCAGCTCCCTGTCCGCCCGCACCAGCCCCATCGCCTCCTCCCTGCCACCACTGCTGCTGCTGCCACTCCGCCAGGTGCTGCTGCTGCTGCCATCGCCACGGGCGGCGGTGGAGGATTCGTGGTTGAGGTGGTGGAGGAGGAAGAGCGCCTTGCTCCAGAGCGGGGCGATGAGGTCGTGGCGCAGCAGGCGGAACTGGATGTCCACGTGCCGGGCCACCGAGCCCGCAGGCAGGTGGTGCGGCTCGTTGGCGTGGTTGTGAGGGAGGTATGGTGATGCCTTGCAGAGCACCTCCTGCATGGTTGGCGCCACTGAGATCTGCAGGCAGGCAAGGGAATCAGTCACCAGGACAGGAGACCATTAGCACGTGGTCAGGCCAATGTTTTTTTCTACTTGGAAATGATTCTTGTAGATTGTAACGGGTTGAATATGATAGCTGGATATTTAGTAAAAACTCCTACAGCTGACATAATAAATCTGACAGCTGTCATTTAGCATGTCAGACAAAAAATTCAGGAAGTTGAATCTTACAGCGGAAATGTCCACACAGTCGTTATCATGCCTTGGGCGGCCAGCCAAGCTCAGCTCACCCGGCCCATCCACAGCCTGCATGCTTGACAGGCGCTGACCTGCAGCAGGACAAGTTACTATCAGTTCGCGTCAAGTGACATCGATGATCATAGAAAACGCTTAATTCAAGGAAACGTATTCCTGAAAATAAACGTATCAGTCAACAAGGCTAACCTGAGAAGAAGAAGTCTTCGTGCAGCATCTGCCCTTCCTCCACCCTCCGCCTCTGCCTCTCACTGTGACTCCGCACATCAACAGCCCTCCTCAGCCGGTAAATCACCGACCGCAGATGGTGGTACCGGCCATCAAGCACCGGCTGCTCCCCCTGCCAGCTCTCCAGCATTCCCTCCAGCTCCTGCAGGTCCCTGCTGGCCTGTGCCGCAGCGAACAGGGAGTGGAACCGCAGCATGGTCTCGTGAAAGAAGCTGAGCACGATGCCAAACGCCACGTCCCACTCTCTGATACCCCCATCGTCTCCTCTCCCGTCTGCTCTCCCGTCTGCTCTCCCGTCTGCTCGCCCTAGATCGCGGATCATGCCACGCTGGGTGAGCAGCCGCATGCAGGCGACGAGGTACTCCTGGAAGCCGTCCACCTCGGCGATGGCTGCCAGGGTCGTGTTGACCTTGCTTGATGCCGGGTTGTTGAAAAACGCAGGCTGCAATCATGCAGGAAACAAAACACGGAGAGAAAAACGTAAGACATGAGTTCTCCTGAACATGGCATCCATGAGTGCTCCACAGAACTATAAGATAAGGATCGGTGGAAGAAAAGACGAAGTGCAACCTACTACCTGACAAATGACTTGTAGCATTGGCAGGATCACGCTCTGGAAGGATACGGTTCGAGGATGGTTGCCAGCTGATACTGATCTTTCAGCACCGCAGCAAACAGCCTCGTCGCAGATGCTCAGAAGCTTCCTCCTACCATAGAGCTTGTCGTCAGCGAGAACGATCACCAGATCTGCACCCACCACCCATGCCATGATGATCATTGCTTACGTCAGTCGTAGGTCAGTCAGCATCGTGACATAAAAAACGCAGATAACTAGTCAAAGGAGGAACTGACGGAACGGATGACGTGCCTGAAACATCGTGACCCTCCATTGCTTGAACGAACAGCCTCATCTGAAACTGATTCGAGAATTCCTGGTCGTTGGGTAAGAAGGTCCACAGGCTCGGCACCCTCCTCTCCTGCCCGTCGTAGCTCGCCGAACCTCCTCGCCCTCCTCCGCCGCCTCGTCTTCCCCATCCCCTGCCGTCCATTGTGCTTCCGGAGCTTCCTGCTCTGCCGCCATGGCCGCCGAACGTCCTGCCTCGCCCTCTGCCCAACTCCCGTGGAGAGCCGAACGGAGAATCCATCGAACGCTGAAACAGCCAGAGAGGCGCCTAACGACCTCTGGAATGCCGCTGTTGGCCATTTTTAGACCGAGCAGCAGCGACACTCTACGCGGAATCGCAGATGTCAATGCTGGACGAATTAGCCTGATGCGGAGGAGTCGCACGCGCATGCGACGATGCCAGATGGCAGCTCGTCTAGGGTTCTTCCTAGGAACGCCTTCTTCACGCCAGACAGTTCACGCACCAAGAGGCTGGGTGCTTCCCAGGAACAGCTTCCTGCACCAGAGAACGGCATGCACAGCAGAGTACGTTGAAGCGGGATTTTATTCGGAGAGGCCAACATGTGTGCGTGTAAGGAAAATTTCTCTGTCATTACTTCGCGTCCCCGCTCAGCGCGTACACCACTGTAGCACCACTGTAAAGAAAAACCCTTTTCCTTACAGGGGTTTACTCAACCGCTTACAACCCCAACTTTCGGAAGTGCACGTTCGGCCACTTCGCTTGCTGCCGAAGCAACCTCACGTCGCCTTCGGCCTTTCCTTTGCCCAACCTGCACCCAACCTCGTGTTCCCGAGGTTCCTGCCTAGCTAGGTTGGTCCACTATATTAGCGCGTGCCTTCATTGTATTGTCAGTTCATTTGAGTCACATCTTCGTTATTCATTATTCCGCGCACTCTCTTTTACAATTCATAACACCTGGTATCAGAGCTACTTTCTTAGTTCACCCCGCTTTTCGAGGGTAGTTTGGTGGCACGGGTGTGGTCGGTATAGTGGACTACACGACGGTTGGCTGCAAGGTTTGTTAATTCAATCCTGCCCGACTCCGATAGTTCGTGTTTTCCACTCACCGGAGGGCCACGGATACCCCTCTGCCCACCAGACGAAGTGTGCGACTCATGGATCAGGAGACATTGAACAAGATGCTGACGCAAATCGCAGAGCTACAGGCAACAGTGCAGACTCTATCGGCAGAAGTGACAACACTACGAGGAGAAAACGCCGAGCTACGCCAGACGCGAGGTGAAGCGCGTCAGGAGTCGCCCGATGAAGAAGGCGAGGGCAACAGTCAAGTAGTGAGCAACCCGTTGGACGCGCTCACACGTGATTTCGAAGAAGAGGATAGGCAGCGAGCGGCAGCGACGCCAATTGCAGCAACAACGATCAAGATTAAACCCGTCAACCCGCCCCCGTTCAACCCTATGGAAAGACTACTACCGTATCGCCCCGGATATAAGCGCCGCGGCGCTTATAATAAAATCGATTTTTTTAGGGGTGGCGCTTGTAATTGAATAACGGCCATAAGCGCCGGCACTTATATAAAGACAAATACAGAAATACAATTCCAACGCACCAACATGTACATTTCAGTCTCGTAAGTTGAACCGAATTAAAACTTTACAGCGTCCAGAATCAGAATCGCGCGAGGGCGAATTTCTGACGGTGCACTGAGCTTTGGCGCGTCATTTTGCCCGCGTGCCAGCTTATACTGACTGGACGCGCAACCAGTGAGGTCCGCGAAAGTCAAACAAAGTGAAAATGTGCTGTGAATCGCTAGAAATATGAAGTTCGTTACCGTTTTAATCAGGAATGAAAAATAAATTTAGGCATGCGCTTATAATAAGTAAAGCATTTTCAGGGGGGGGGGGCGCTTATAATCGAATTCCGGCCATAAGCGCCATGCTCCAGATAGAAGCGCCGGCGCCTTTAATCGGACGGCGCCTATATCCGGGGCGATACGGTACAGTGAAGGGGTGGCTTTTCGGCGTTGAAGTCTTCTTCACTGCAGCAGGCGTGAACAACGATGCCACACGTATTAATTACGCGGTTTCTCTCCTTCGAGGCGCAGGGCCGTGCGATCCGCCGTAATTATTGACGAGGTTGGGACGGTCGAGCAAGTTCATGGTATCAACATGATACGTACGTGCGACTAGTACAGTATTTGGTTTTACATATGGGTCCCATTCAAATGTGTTTTTTACCAACTATTTGAGGCATCCGTTTGAAAACAGATTGAAAAAATTCAAACTGGTGCTCTAAAAATTACGTAAATATCACTCTTCAAGTTATATCCCCAAAATGTCAAACCAAATATTTAGGGTTGCTACGCAATCCAATGAGATTTTCACCATCATGTACAACGTTTGTATAATTTTCATGTGTAAGGAACCATCTGTACCTTTTCCGCTCGTACCGTATATCGAGACTGTCTGTGGCTGAGCGCGAAAACTGCCTGTCAAAGGCGGGAAGCGATTCGGTATGGATGTGTCTGCAGTTGACGGTCACGATCGCATCGTTCAGCTGTCACCTCTCCATCTCCCCACAATTTGCAGGCACTAGCAACTCCCGCAAGTGTTCTTGCCTAGCCAGCTTCTCTGCCGCACATCAGCCCAGGGACGTCTTATTAGAACTTTTTTGCATTCTGGCTGCCCGTTTACAGAATGGCCGGCTGTCCGCCGGCCTCTTCACCCGGCTGCTTGCCACTCGAGGCGGTTCCACTTTGCTTCGTGCCTTCCGGGTGCGTCGCAGGCGACGCGTACGCGCGACTCGAAGGTAATAATAATTCCAATGACAGGTTTTACTGTCAATCAAGAAGGCATAATCAAAGCATCGTTTAGCTGTTTACCGATAGAGATACCTTCCTGTTTACCGATTTGGGAGAATAAAATAGTAGAAGAATGATTATCAAAAGCAAATCCAGAAGAGCGCGAGAAGAACGATTGGCGGAAGCCGAACAGAGCGGCGGCTCGGTAGAAAACCGTACGTCGACCGGAGGAAGAGAGATGGCGAATTTTGCTGCTCAGACTGTCAAAGCTCGCCGATGCGACGACGTTCGGGAAGAAACGACGGGTTTACAGCGCGCCGATTCGACCACCGGTAGCAGCTCACTTAAAGGGGAGAAAGGCAAAGGAGAGCAGATCAGTGGCGGAGACGAGAGAAGTGCGGAAGGAGCGGGGGCGAGAAGCGCGGAAGGAGGGGGGGCGAGAAACGCGGAAGGAGGGGGGGCGAGAAGCGCGGACGTTGATGGGTCCGCCGTGAAGCTTACGTGGCAGGAGCGGAGTGGCTTGCGGCAGCGCTCGGGATCCAAGGGACCCTCGAAGCGCGTGCTGAAGCGAGTTGAAGCCCCCGACGTGAGAGGCGGGCGGGTTGGGCACGGGCGGGCGGGAGCGGGCGGGACCGGGCGGGAATTGGGGGGTAGGGGGAAAGGAGACATTTGCAAGAGGGGAGGGCCGCTGGAAGGGGAAGGGCGGGAGGGGAGCGGGGAAAGGAGTGGGCGCAGGTTGTTTGTGGCATGGCGCATAGATGCCAGCAGGGGAAAGAACGGGGTAGGGGCGCGGAGGAGGAACTGGCTCATTGTGCCTGCATCACGTGGCCTGTCCCCCTTCAGGCCATCCCCCTTCCGTTCCCTCTTTGCGCACTCTCCGCTCTCTCCTCTCCCGCTCACCGCACCTGACCCCCTTCATTGCGCACCTCCTTTATTCCTTTCCCCTATCTAGCTACCCGGCCTTCCCCTTCCCCCCCCCTCTCCCCCCCCCCCCCCGTCCCACTGCAGGGCGTGCTGGCGACATACGACGACGCGTTCCTCTTTGGGCGCATCCCCCTGCCCATGCGCCTGCGCGCCATGCTCTCCAAAGGGCCCCTCGCGCGCCTCTTCCAAATCGTACCGCCCCCTCCCGCCCTCCTTCTTGCCTCCTGCTGCACGCCTGCCCTCTTGTCTCCTGCTGCACGCCTGCCCTCTTGTCTCCTGCTGCACGCCTGCCCTCTTGTCTCCTGCTGCACGCCTGCCCTCTTGTCTCCTGCTGCACGCCTGCCCTCTTGTCTCCTGCTGCACGCCTGCCCTCTTGTCTCCTGCTGCACGCCTGCCCTCTTGTCTCCTGCTGCACGCCTGCCCTCTTGTCTCCTGCTGCACTTGTCTCCTGCTGCACGCCTGCCCTCTTGTCTTGTCTCCTGCTGCACGCCTGCCCTCTTGTCTCCTGCTGCACGCCTGCCCTCTTGTCTCCTGCTGCACGCCTGCCCTCTTGTCTCCTGCTGCACGCCTGCCCTCTTGTCTCCTGCTGCACGCCTGCCCTCTTGTCTCCTGCTGCACGCCTGCCCTCTTGTCTCCTGCTGCACGCCTGCCCTCTTGCCTCCTGCTGCACGCCTGCCCTCTTGTCTCCTGCTGCACGCCTGCCCTCTTGTCTCCTGCTGCACGCCTGCCCTCTTGTCTCCTGCTGCACGCCTGCCCTCTTGTCTCCTGCTGCACGCCTGCCCTCTTGTCTCCTGCTGCACGCCTGCCCTCTTGTCTCCTGCTGCACGCCTGCCCTCTTGTCTCCTGCTGCACGCCTGCCCTCTTGTCTCCTGCTGCACGCCTGCCCTCTTGTCTCCTGTTGCACGCCTGCCCTCTTGTCTCCTGCTGCACGCCTGCCCTCTTGTCTCCTGCTGCACGCCTGCCCTCCTGTCTCCTGCTGCACGCCTGCCCTCTTGTCTCCTGCTGCACGCCTGCCCTCTTGTCTCCTGCTGCACGCCTGCCCTCTTGTCTCCTGCTGCACGCCTGCCCTCTTTTCTCCTGCTGCACGCCTGCCCTCTTGTCTCCTGCTGCACGCCTGCCCTCTTGTCTCCATGACATGGCTGCTTCTCCCTGCGTGCTTCTCTCCTCTTAGCCGCGCACCTGCTCCCCTCCCCCATCCCCCACCTTCACATTGCACCTCCCCCTCACATTGCACCTTCCCCTCACATTGCACCTCCCCCTCACATTGCACCTTCCCCTCACATTGCACCTTCCCCTCACATTGCACCTCCCCCTCACATTG